ATATATATATATATATCAGACGTGTGTTCAGAAGAAATGGTGATGCTGCGGCAGGCACTGCAGGCCTGTCTGTGTGTCACCACGGGCACTGCCTGTGAGAACAAATGCTGTGGGCACAGCAAATGAGATAGAAAGCGGTCATTGAGTGGACATGAATATTTAACTGAGACAATATCAGTCTGGCAGAGTATCAGCCGATTGTAATGGCTCAGTGCCTTCTTTCTGCTGTGTCCGTATCAAACACAAAGCTCTGCCAAACCCTCTGCTGACAGCCACAGCTAACCTGAGCAGCACACTATCCTAGTTAGTCACGAGTCACTCCTGTTGAGACTCATTCCATGGATACCTTTGGTCAATTTGAGAAGATGTTGAGAATTGGTTGGATGACATTTTGTGTCCTGTGGATAACTCATAAGCTCTCAAATTTAATTTACAATCAAATATTCACACAGCGTCTTCAAATATGTGCGCACTATGACAATAATGATTGGTTCTGGCTTATATGTTGTTACATGATCAGTTGTGTTGAGGCATGATTGAATATGCAAGAGGTGCCACTGCCAATGAGATTTGATGAAGGAAATGTTTTTAGTGACTAATGTCTTAAAGGGACAGTTCAAAGTTCTGTTGTCATTTACTCATGTCATTCCAAATCCATAACTTACATTTACATAGACTTACATTTATCTTTGGAACAAAAACTTCCATCCCATTTCATGCTTCAAAAAGTTCAGAAAACATACATAGAGCTCATCAAACATGGTAAACGGAAGCTCAGCCATATTTACTAGTCGTTTCAGATCAACCCTCATTGGTTCTTGTGCATCCAGCATGTTTGATCTTACATTTGCCCTGTTTGGTGTGTTTTATATATGTCCGTCGATTAATGCTTATGTAGTATAGATGAATAAATAAATAATATATGTTTATGTATATGTGATTAAAAGTCTAAATTAAATCTGTTTTGGTTTTAAACTGCTCAATTTAAAGGGATTAATTTATTTCTTTGTGAAATTTGTGTCTTTGAAATGTCAAAGTTTTGGTGGAATAGACTTTTTATGGAGGGATAGAAATCTGTTGGGTTTCATTAAAAATTTCTTAATTTGTTTTTTGGAGATGAATGAAAGTCTTATGGGTTTGGAATGACATTTGGGTAAATAATGTATTTAAATAAATATTTAAAGTAAATAATGACTGATGAATTATGAGTTTTCATTTTTGGGTGAACTTTCCCTTTAAATTTTGGTCTTTTTCTCATAGAAAGCTATCATATGGCCTCAGAAGATGTTAAATCTAGTGAACTACCAGGGTGCTAAAAATGCTAAGATTGGGGGTTTGATTCTACTAAAATGTGTAATTGTGGAATGAGTTGTATGGACTATTTCATGGTACCTTATGGTGCTTTATGTTCTTGTTGGAGCTTCAAAGTCTCTGGTTGCTGAGTGTTTTCATTTTATGGAAAATTCCCTTAAATTGGACACTGGTCTGATAGCTAGAGTTAAGAAAAACAGTATTTTTCCAAAGGCTTATTTATTGTCAAAATGCAGCTCATAAAAATTCACCCATCAGACCCCACCCAGCAGCCAGAATGGACGGGGGTGGGGGCGGTTATGGTGATTAATTTCCCATGCTGCTTAGCTGCTATGGCAGATGAGAGGAGTCAGACAAGGGGTTTTATGGAGCCAAATAAACAGGCAGCTGTGTACCACATTAGAGCTGTGATTGGTGACAGTACACGTGTGTGGTACTTGGTGCAGTTCTCCAGACTTGGGTGGGGTCTTTCCTCCCAGTGTAATTAAACCCACAGGACCACCGTCCAGACACTCTATCTCCACATGCGCACAGCTAACTGTTTGTCTAATGTATGTCGTTTATCATGAGCAACCCCCACACATCATAGCACACACATGCACATCCATCATACGCACAGTTAATATACCCCACCACACACACTAATTGGGTTAGATTGTCCCGTTTCTCACCCTTTCCCCTTAATGAGAGACTTCAAAAAGCCCCGCATCAATATTTCACGCCCCTCCGCTGCATGTTTGAATATTTCCTTTTGATTTAGTATCTTGACATGTTTTGTTTTCTCCTATAAGAGAAGAATCTGTACGTTATGGATTAAATCTTCATACAGACTTCCTCGCAGAACGGCGCTCAGTAGGGCACATCCTTGGCATCACAGCAGGGTTTCCTACAAGATTTTGTATTTCCAGTGGGGGGCAACCCCCTCAAACCCGAAAAACATCTTACTAAACGTTAACAATTCTTTTTTTCTCCAACATATAATTGCTTTTGATTAAAATACCATTGTAACAAAACTCTGAAACTCCATTCTGCTACACTATTAACTTGGTATGCTTGGTATAAACTGATTTAAGTTTCAATAACCTTACTCACTTAAATGTACCTATTTTGAACACTGCTCTTTGTAACTGTTCTCTGCTTGTGTTGAGTCAGACATTACTAATAATGTGTCATTTAGTGAGCGAGCGAGTCATCCGAGCCGATTCAGTGAGATGTCAGATTGATTCAGTCCATGATTCAGACAGATGATTAAAACTGTATATACTATATATATATATATATATATATTGTAGGCAGTTTGCTTGTTAACAATCACGAAACAAGTGTGGTAATGAGCATTCTCATTTCATTACCACAAAAACACATTCTGTATTTACTGAAACTGAATCAAAATGCACTGCTGGAACTCAATACAAATAAGCAATAATTAAATAATAAAAGAACTTGCTCTGCACTTTATGGGCTTCACATTAACCGGATTAAGATTTCTATAAATGGGAGTTGCCATCCAAAGAGTACAACTGATTTAAATTTTTTTATACACTGCTGTTCATATTTTATTGAGTGAAGTAATACTTTTATTCAGAAGGATGCGTTAAAGTAATCAAAAGTGACAGTAAAAACTTTTATAACATTACTAAAGATTTATATTTCTAATTAAATTGTTCTTTTTGACCTTTCTATTCATCAAAGAATCTTGAAAAAATGTATTATGATTTCCACAAAGATATGAAGCTGTTTTTAACATTGATAATAACAAGAAATGTTTATTGAGCACCAATTCAGCTCATTAGAATGATTTCTGAAGGATCATGTGACACTGAAGACTGGAGTAATGATGCTGAAAATTCAGATTTGCATCACAGGAATAAATTACATTTTAAAATATATTAAAATAGAAATCAATTATTGTTTTGTTTTGTAGAAAGCTTTGTTTTATAAATAAACTGCATTTAAAGAGTTTCCCACTGACTCACAAACAGACAAACTGGAACAATCAGTTCAAGTCAGGTCGAAAGGAAACCAACAAATAATGGCATATCAACACCTTAACTTTCCTAATATATGTATAATTTTGCTGTGGCACTGCAGATTCAGCAGCGGTGCAGGAAACACTGCATCACAGGAAATCACTGCTGGATCTCGTTTAGCTACAGTGTCCATCCCTCTTCCTGCCTACTCTATTTTCTCTCCCCCATCATTCTCTGTTCTTGCTGGCCCTTTCGGCTCACTTGTTTCTGTCACTCGTGGTCCATCTCATTTTGCCCCTCTTGCTATCTCTCCATCCCCCTCAATCACTCTCTCTGGTAGGATTAGCATAGCCAATTTGAGCCGGCCAGTGTTCACCGAGTTGTGAATGTGCTAAATGTGCATTTCCATGATAAAGGCCGAGACTCCGAGCTGCTCGTCTGTCACAGAAGTATGGCATTACTATTGTCCCCAGGGCTGAGCTGCATCATTTTGTGTTTGCTTTTGAAGTGTTCAAATTCATTTTCAGCGCTCGGTACAGTACGCCGCTCCATTGTGCTGACAGAACGTTACAGTAGATTGTAAAAGCCACGTTTCTCTGCTGAATGGGGACCCCCAGGGCTCTGTAATGATGTATGCTAGCACTTTAGACATCAAAGCTAGCGTTTATGCAATCTTTAGTGAGCGCTAGCATGCGTGAGCGTGTGCAGTGCTGCTTTTGTGTAATATAAGTCTGTGTGCCAATGCGGTGTGTGTGTTTTTTTACAGGTCGACGAGCTGTACGAGGGCTTTTGTATTCAGAGACGGTTGCGTGATGGCGCCAGTAAGATGAAACAGGCCTTCACTGCTTCACCCTCCACTAAAGGCACACGTGAGAGCCTGGCGGAGGTCAACCGCAGATACAAAGAGTATACAGAGGTACATTATTAATGTTTGCTTGTCTGACCAGTTGGCCATTTTTTTATCGCTTTGTTCACGCTGCAGCAGAGTACATATTTTGAATCAACTAGAGTGTGGATTGTCTGAATGACTAATTGACTAATTGGTCTGTGTAATTAGGCTGGTTTCGGGTTCATCTGTATCTGAGAGGGCATTTACATAAGCCATACAGGTCTCAAGACGAGCTTTTAAATGTTTAACTATTTTCGACAGCATATTAGTAATGCCAGATATGATGCAACAGTCAAAAATTTCTGAGTATGTATGAGACGTGTATATATCTATTGATGGTTCTTTTTTTTAAAGAATTTAATACTTTTATTCAGGAAGTATGCATTAAATTGATCAAAAGTGACAGTAAAGACATGTATAGTGTTACAAAAGAATTATATTTCAAATAAATGCTGTTCTTGTAGAACTTTTTATTCATCAAAGAATCTTGGAAAAAATGTCACTTTCCACAAAAATATAAAACAGCACAACTCTTTTCGACATTAATAATGAGAAGAAATGAAATTCAGCATTGTCATCATAGGAATAAATAATTTTTTAAAAATATGTTAATTAGTGCTGTCAAAGGATTAATCGCACCCAAAATAAAAGTTTTTGTTTACATTATATATGTAGGTGTACTGTGTATATTTATTATGTATATATAAATATACACACATACAGTAAATATTTTGAAAATATTTACATGTATATATTTATATTCTCATATTTTATATTATATATAAAGATATTTAACATATAAACATAACATATTTTTCATAAATATATACATGCATGTGTTTGTATTTATATATACATAATAAATATACACAGTACACATACATATATACTGTAAACGAAAACTTTTATTTTGGATGTGATTAATTGCGATTAATCGTTTGACAGCACTAATGTTAATTAAATTAAATTGTAATATCATTTCACAATTTTATTATTTTTACTTGATCAACTAAATTCAGCCTTGGTAAGCATTAAAGACTTCTTTCAAAAACAAACTAAATGGTAAAAACAGGTCAAAACTAAAATATGAGGAACAAAATCACAATTTGTTTCAAACTTTTGCTACAGTTATATTTAATATAATTAGAATTATACATAACATATGCAAACAAACTGCCTACAATAATTACATTATATAATAATAAATATATAATATATATACTTTTTGATTTATTTAATAACAATAATGCAGATTGGTCACACTTTATTTTAAGGTCCAGTTCTCGCTTTTAATAATCTATGACTTTTGCCTCAATAATTTGCTAGTTGTTAAGTTTAGGTATTGGGTAGGATTAGGGATGTAGAATATGGTCATGCAGAATATGTGCTTTATAAGTACTAATAAACAGCCAATATGTTATTAATAAGCATGCTTATAAGCAACTTGTTAATAGTGAGAATTGGTCCCTATACCATTAGTTGTGGTAAGAAATGTTATGGCCAATTAAATCTCTCATTTCACCTGTCATTCATATTACCATATGTTCCCATCTCCTCAGAACATGAGCACTTTTGAGGCCGAGCTGGAGAACCTGTTGGGGGAGTTTCATATCAAAATGAAAGGTACAGGATTTTTGCACAAAAATGGGAAAAAATCTATAAAGTATGTGTTGTATATCAATAACAAACTTTTCAACTCCTTTGCTCTCTGTCTCAGGATTGGCTGGTTTTGCCAGGCTTTGTCCCGGCGATCAGTATGAGGTAAGTTGTTTATACGTAAACTTTCAGAACATACTGAGATTCATGCATTCTTTTTTTCTGTAATAAAGCCAGATGTGTCTGTCTTCTATCAAATTACTAAACGCTTGTAGTAATTGCCTGCTGTTCTGCCAAGTACATCCAGTTCATTCGTAATCACAGCTCTCCTAGCAACGTTTTCTCTTCTGATCCGCAAGTACATACAACCCACCAAACCCAATTAGATTTTGCAAGGCTGTATAAAACTAAACACTGAAAACTCCCATTGCTTTACTGCTCTATTAACAATTATGTGAACTTGTGTTGGCAGCGTTTTCCTAATTCTGACATTTTTTTGTTCTTTCTTTTTCTGGCAGATTTTCATGCGATACGGCCGACAGCGGTGGAAACTGAAGGGGAAGATCGAAACGAACTCCAAGCAGAGTTGGGATGGAGAGGAGATGATCTTCATGCCCCTCATTACAGACCTCATCAACATCAAGGTGGGCTCGTCCACACAGTCGTCCATTAATTAATGTGACTAATTCTGACAGTGACATACTGGGTTGTAACCACCAAAGACATTCAAAAAGACACGTCCCCTCAATATTAATCAACATTGATTCCTCAAATGTTACATCTCGTACCCTCAATCTTGAATATTTGGTTAGACCCTCGATGAATGCACGAAAAAACATACTCCCATAAATTTGCATTTATCTGCTATTTGCTATGCATTTATCTTGAATGAAACATTTCTGAATTGACAGTTCTCAATTCATTATCTTTATTCTACTAGGTGACAGAGTTAAAGGGGTTGGCCACTCACATCTTGGTGGGTAGTGTGATCTGTGAAACCAAGGACTTGTTCACCGCTATGCCTCAGGTGGTAGCAGTAGACGTCAACGACCTGGGAACCATTAAACTTAACCTGGAGGTCGCCTGGTTGTAAGTGAAGTTATCTAATAAAACAAGATAAGAAGTGTGGCGTTTCAGCCACAGTAAATTAAAGTCATGGTATACACTGCCCTCCTCAGGACAGTCATGGAATTTACTTCTGCCTAACAGTTAATACGTATGTTTTTTTTTTATTTCAATAATTTTAGTGTTTTCTTTCATTAAATACTTAAGTATGATATTAGATTGCTGTACATGAATGCATGTCTGCCTTGTTTTTACAGTCCATTTGATGTAGAGGATCTGACACTGTCCTCAGGAAACGTGAGTAAAGCCACCGCCCTTCAGAGACGAGTTTCAGTGTACAGCCAAGGCACACCCGAGACGCCCACTTTGCAGGACACGTCTTTCTTTGTGAGTGCAATTCTGAAAAGTCCTCTCAGTTCTGTTTAAAAGTCCTGCTTCTATCACCATGCTAAACACATAAACTTGATTTGCAGCTGCATCATTACACACATAAATCCTGCCCTTGTGAAAAAGAAGTACACATAAGCATTCTTTTAAAATGAGTACAGAAATGAAAGAATATAATTAAGTGTGCATTAAATGTTTTAAGACACTTGCCTGTTGTTTAAAATGAAATGAAAACGTATTATAGTTTAAATTTATATTAAATGCAACTTTATATGAAATTTCATAATTACCTATATTGTCTTTGAACATATCTCTTCTGTGTATTTAAATATATTTGTAATTACACATTTGTAATGATAAATTTGCTATTTAAAACATTTCAAATATGTGACCATGGACCATAAAACCTGTCATAAGGGTCATTTTTTTAAAATTGAGATTTAAATATCATCTGAAAGCTGAATAAATACGCTTTCCATCGATGTATGGTGTGTTAGGATAGGACAATATTTGACCGAGATACAACTATTTGAACATCTGGAATCTAGAATCTATGTGCATACAGTATGATACAGGATATTGAGGTTTTCAGATCAGGTGTTAGATCACACTGTCACATTTCCCTCCTTAAAAGCTGAGTACTAAACTAAATATAACACTACTGAGTCTGGCTAGCTGTTCTGGGTTCAGTGTGTATTATTGAATATGAAAGCACTTGCATCTTGTGTGTGAATGTTCATGTTTAGTCTGTGCTGCTGTGTCTAATGAATTGTATTCACCCTGTGGCACCATGTGCATCATGGTTGTTGTGTGTACATGTGTGTGTGTGTGTGTGTGTTTGTTTGTGTCAATGGCAAAGAAGTGGCATCCTCGGCGGTGGGAGGGTCAGCGTCTCTCATTCTTGCACACGCTCCGAGAGACGCTCTTAGAGAAACTCAGACGCAGTCGCTCTTTTGGCGATCTGGCTGCGCTGAGACCTCGCTCAAGGTCCAGTCTGGAGGTCTACGTGAGTCAGGTCACTATGTGTCCTGCCCTTCTGAGTGAACATCTGCATGTGGCTCTTTTCTTTGCTTGCGTTTTCTGCTTTTTTCACGCACAAACACACACGTTTCTTCTCACTCACATTCACACATACACTTTTCCAAACTATAATATTATGATGTTTAAAGACCCTATGAAATAAAAAATTGTGGCTTTTAGTTCATGTTAGCTTTTGTGCGGATAATTCCACTGTGGCAACTCCTAACGGGAGAGTTCATGTTAGCTTTGAGGCCTTTTGTGGGCAAATAACAGCAAAAAAAAATTTTGCAGACATTTTTCTTTCAGGATGATGGACTTAAAATATCTACTAATCCTATCCACAAGAGCATATAGAAATTTTTGTTCGGTTACAGTAAATGAAAATCTGACCAAGAACCCCCTGCCTAATGAAATAGACCATCTTAAAGTTACATGTTTAAGCCACTCACATGTAAACTTATAATCAGCCTAGATTATTTTAAGCAAAGGTTGTTGTAGTTTTCACAATTGCTTTCCAGTTTTATGTGTAGTATGTATCTCATGGTCAATGAACAGTCTGTGAGATGTCCCACCCCAACTTCCTGGAAAGAACATTTGGATATGTTAAACCAGGGTTTCCCAAAAGAAGGAACTGCTGGAGGTTCCTGAGTTGATGAAAAGCTATTTACTCCATCATTACTCCAGTCTTCAGTGTCACATGATCCTTCAGAAATCATTCTAATATACTGATTTGCTGCTCAAGAAACATCAATGTTAAAACAGTAGTTCTGGTTTTTATCAGGGTTCTCTGATGAATAGAACATTTAAAAGAACTGCATTTGTAATGTCTTTACTGTCACATTTGATCAATTTAATGCATCCTTTCTATGAATTTCATTATAGAAAAAAATTACCCAAACATCTGAATAGTGGTGTATTTAACAGAGGAATGAGAACATGCAAATGTTGTTAAAATATAGACATATTAACTTAGAATTTACATCAGGTCAGTGTTTTAGGTCAAACAGTTTTGGCTGACAAAACATTTGGGAATCCCTGTGTTAAAAACCATTTCATGGAAGTCTTTAATTGTTCTGCTGCTCTTTAGTGTGCTTGACTTTTGGACAGAAAATATTGTTTGCATCTTTAGATCACTAAAACTACTATAGATAATAGTGCTGATAGGAATAAATGACATCAGGGAGCCATATTTACCATATTTTCTTTCTCTTTCCATTAAACAGTCCACTTTACCAGACGACGTCTTTGAGAACGGAGGCTGCAGTGTGGCCGAATGCAAGCGCCTGTCCTTCACCTTCTCTGACACGCCCACCTCAAGCCCCACCCCCATCCAGTCAAACCCTGAGATCACCGTCACGCCCCCTGAGACGGACCCTCCCTCTGAACCAGCTCCAGCCTCTGAGGACCAGCCGGTTGAGGAGGAGTGTGTGGAGGAAGACTGCGGCAGTGTCAGCGATCCAGACCTGGAGTGGGACCAGGCTGAGGCCCAGGGGCATGGCACAGGCTCGACGGCCCACTCGCTGTGCTCCGAGAGTCAGCTGTCTGCGGTGGGACCCGAGGATGTGGTGTTCTTGGAGCCCAACATGCCTGATGAAGCCCTGGAGCTGAAGCCGGTGGAGCTGGATGGGGAGGAAGGCAGTCTGACCAGGCAGCTGGTGAGAAGGCTCACCTCCTCTGACATGCTGCCCGAGGCCAGCACTGTGAGCTGGTCTGGAGAGAGCAGCAGGACCTTCCAGGAGAGCAGCCTGGAGGAGGCCATTCAGTCCCTGCTCCTGCGGCTGGAGAGCTTAGGCCAGCGCTGCGGGGAGCTGCAGGACTTGGAGCAGGAGGTCATGAGACTCGAAGATATGTTTAAGGTGAACGAGTTTTCTGTGGTCTTTAATTAGAAGAGTTACTGTTGAAATTTTGATGCAGTTTGTTTGATCATGAAGCTTGGTTCATTTGATTAGCATGAACTTAGGTATCAAAGATCCACGGTTAGCAAGAAAAGGGCGGTCTAGCATTCAGATAATGCACAGTTTTGTAAGACTTGAGGGTGGATTTGGTCTTGAGTCCACCTTGATTGAGTCCACCTTCACTCCTGAAGTGAAGCGATGCATTTATGTAAGAAAACTGTAATCCCTAGCTTCCGCTGTCATAAACACGTTCATAAGAGAGTGGCGTTCCAGCAGATGACGGAGGACGTAGGCGTAGCGTAAGCTCTGGTGAGAATATGCTAGTCTCGTGAGAACCAAGTTTTGTTTACAACAGGGAAGCAGTCTCCTCTTGGCTTATTGAAAGTGTTTTTTAACTTTGAGCATCACGTTTTTAGAGTGTCCTGTCATGCACAAGAAGAATAAAATAATTGAAAAGCAGCAAATTGGAATGCAAGAACTTGTTGTGTGTGAACAAGCCCCTTGTCTCAGATGATCTCAGTCTTGAATGAAGGTTGTTGTTTCTCCTCAGTGTCGGGTACCTGCTCATAGGAGCCGTTCATCCAGCCTCAGTTTGACAGTGGAGAGCGCTCTGGAAAGTTTCGACTTCCTCAACACCTCTGACTTTGATGACGATGACACAGGAGATGATGCTGCCACCCTCTCACACGCTGTCTTCTTTGACATGGAGTCAGAGAGAATCGGGTGAGTTGGAAATTAAACCCTTTGGTGGTCAGGTTTCTCTGAGGAACTTCATGGTCTCGGTAGTTGTGATTGGGTAGCGCCCTCTGGTGGTGACAGTATGTCTTGCATGTTCAACAGGTCAGGCCAACATCCAGAAGCAAGAGGCCACCTGAGTGAAGCCCTCACAGAGGACACTGGTGTGGGGAACAGTGTGGCCGGCAGCCCGTTGCCTCTCACCACAGGAAACGAAAACCTAGATGTGGCCATTGTTGTTCATCTACAATACTGCAGTCATCTCATTCAGGTGATTCTGTTTTTCCACCTTTACAACTTAATTTTCACCTTCTCAGATTCCAAAATATTGTGATTTTTCTTTGTCTTTTACACCGAACATTGTCAGTAGACAGCACATTTACAGCATAAACAGATTGAACTGTGTCATTGTGATTTTTAATATAAAATGCTGAAGTTTCTCTATGTATGGGATGCAGTTGTTGACCTCAGGAGGAAGCCAGTCGCAGCACAAGACATACCTGCACAAACTAACAACTCAAACACTTCTGTTGGAGGATCTCAGTGAGAAAATCTTTGACAGACCGGGCAGCTGTATTTTAGTGTCTGATGGTGAGTATAGCTTAAAGGGGTCATATGATGCTATTTTAAAGATCATTATTTTGTGTATTTGGTGTAACAGAATATGTTGACATGCTTTAATGTTCAAAAAACATTATTTTTCAAATACTGTACATTATTGTAGGTCCTCTATGCCCCGCCTCTCTCAAACACGTCGTTTTCAACAAAGCCCCTTCCTTTGACAAGCGCAGTCTGCTCTGATTGGCCAGCTGACCCAGTGCATTGTGATTGGCCGAACACCACAAGCACGCGTCGGAAATGTAACGCCCCTTACCATAATCGCGAGCTTCAGCTTTCAAAGTAAATATCAAGACAGTTAATAATGTTGTTAGTTTTACCATCAGTTCAAGCCCGAAAGGACAACAGAGTCGCGTGACAGACACAGTGATGATGCAGTACACAAGCCACGGTTAAGACAGCTGACGTGCTATGAT